TCTGTCCTTTCAGCCTCCTTCTGGACGGGAGCTTCTGTAAAAAGCTGGCTGCAGTTCGCCATCTTGGCTCCGCCCCCCTATTGCTAAATTTCTTATCTGAGCATGTTCTCAGCCTGTCCTGAAACTCTGGCCTATTGGGAATACAGCTTACACAAATACTCCTGCTAAGTCTGTGAACACTCTGAGGAAAATAATGGCCATAAAAGAGATTATGGCAAGACCTACAAAAGATACATGGTCTAGGTCATTTCCTGCCCTAGACAGGGGGCAGGACAAAACAGATACCCATTGTAGAGATTTGCATTTGACTGTGGCATAGACCAGGGGAATAGTTTGAGGCCTGAGATATGGGCAGGAGGGCTTACATCCCTTATTGGAGTGAAAAATCCTCCCTGGTGGTGATGAGAGGAAAATGCCTCTCTCCCACTGATTCCTCAGAGGAGATTAACACCAGTGAAGTTTTACTACACAGTGAACTAGCAGAGTTTCACACCTCCCAAGGAATCTGTGTGTGTGACTCCAGGCAGGAGGCTTCTCCCACACAGGGCTCAATTTTCAGATTCCTCAAAAGTACTCAAATCTTTAAAGTTAATAATAATAAGAGCTAATATGCTCACTCAGAGAAACTGCTGATATCTTTGCTCCCTCCCTCAACTTACCACCTGGGCAACGAGATTTGAATAAAAGCTGTGTGGAACAGGGCCTCAGAGCCATTGACAAGAACCCACAAATGAGTGGTGGTCACTTTAGCTCTCACTTTTGAAAATTCTATTCTGTGTCTCATGTCTCTTTATCATGACTCCTAACTTTATATTTATTCAGTCGCTCACACCTGTTCCACAGGTGTTAGCAGACCCTGCCCCTGGGGGCGGACCCCGACAGGATACATGTAAAAACAGGTCCTTGAAATAGCGTCCCACTTAAGTGACTCTGCCATGTTTTGTCAACTCTAATGCAGCTGAGTCATAGTGCTGTACAAAATCTCAACTGTTGTGTGAACCTAATGCTGGGAAACTCAACTATGATGAGAATCAATAAGTTTCAAATGAAAGATCATTTCTTTCTCTGTGGATGTATAAAAAGTTTCCTGTTCCAAACACGTCAGGGACACCAGTTGAAGTGAGCAGGACAGGCCACTTAGTATCTTTGACCACAAGCTTGGATCCCAGGACAAAACAGGATGAAGTCACTACATGGTCACAGCTGATGACATCACAATGGGTGTTGCCATGTGAGGAACAGACCATCTTCAAGCTTTGCCTTATTCCTGCTAAGCATGTGTGCTGTCAGGGTTTCTTGTTGTTCTTGGGTTTCGAACTGTTACAAAATACTAGGGCTCTTTTCTCCACACTCAATTTGTGCTTCCTAAAGTTTCTTTGTATCTGCAGCTGAGGGATTCCACAACACTTTCTTTCCCTTTCAAGCCATGGATTGGGAAGAAAATGGAAGAGTGTGGATTACACCTACCACTGCTCTGTGATGTTGTAGACCAAGAACCCAAGCACAAAGATGAGACACTGATTTCACAGACATGACAGGTATGTAACACAGTTCTTAGTTCTACTTTCATGTTTTACTTTTTTTTTTTTTTTTTATCTAGAATAGGTTGTTTTTAAAGGTAGGTATCTCCCTAAATGTCCTCTCTTAACATCTGGTTAGGTGCTGTGTCCATTGATGTACTTAGAAACTCCAGTTATTTATGATGATCATTGTAAATATCAACCTATGTGGACAGTTCCAACATTCCTGACCTCAGTTCTAGGGCTGTCCAATAGTTTAGCATTGTGGCGGGCAACTATAGTCCCCAAAAGTGGGGAGAGTGAGACCAGAGACTCACCTGAGGGGAGGAGTTTGAAGTTGCTGTGAGCTATGATTACAGGGAGCTCTACCAAGGGTAACAAGTGAGACTTTGTCTCTATAAAAAGGCTCA